TTGCTCACTTTTGAAAATATTGATAAACTATCTGTTGACGCATTTATTATCTGTTTAGAAATAATTGCTTTGGGCTATCGGTGGAGGGTAATCTTGATTGTTGTAGACAATGCATGATGATTAGGCAAACTAAACCTGATCAATTGAATGTGTCATTGAATATGACGGTTGAAAGAATACATTAACTTTATGTATTGATTGGTTATGTATATGACCTGTGTTTATATACATAGTGTTGTGTGGGAGGAGATATGGGATGTACTCCACGGTTTAGGAGAAGATAGGGGATGGACCTCTAAACCGGATATTGTTTGGGAGGAGATAGGGGATGGACTCCGTTGATACAGCTCATATGCTTATCTGTTGAAGTGTTAACACAGCTCATATGTTTATCTGTTGGAGTGTTGATATAGCTCATATGTGTAGACACCTAATTTTTGACCGTCCTCAAGACTTGGACGTCACCGCTTGAACACTCGGTGATCATCCATGTTTGTGTTCGTCTTGAGTTCCTGGAGCCCTCGGCTACGCGCCTTGCCTCAAGACCTCTCGACTTGCCTGATTTGGAGAAATCAAAGAGAGAAGGCAAATTCTAGAGAGAGAAGCTCCAGATCTGGATTTTGAAGAATTTTAGAGAGACAGAGGACTGCAAAAAGTGATATGAAACAATAATTTTACGGACTGATATAACATGATCCACTCGAGCGTGGAACTCCCTGCTTGAGCGTTAGACACAGACTCTCGCTCGAGCGTGGAAAGATCCGCTTGAGTGCCAAATGCACCCTTTCAGCAGTTTTGCAAACGCAGACCCCGCTCGAGCGCCAAACTTCCTGCTCGAGCGTGGAACAAATTTTGTGAAGTTCGTTCCAGTGCAAGAATGCTCGCTCGAGCGGAAGGGCTAAATTCTGGGCAACTAACTTTTTGAAAAACAAGCAACCAACTTGTTCCCAACACACAACTACAACCCAACGACCAACAATAAGGGGAAGACATGGAAAACAAGACATGACTCGCCCTACAAAACTATACAAACCCAAGTCAGGAATAACAAAAGGGATGGGTCAAAACCCGAATCGCTATAAAATTGGTTAGAGTATTGCAATCCTTCATCAAATTTGAGTAAAAATTTGATGAAATGTTTGATTTGATATGATGCACTCCAATGGTAAATTTAAAATTTTCATCAAATTTTGTTACAAGTCTGGTTGTCTGGAAGGACATCCGGGCAAACGTTCAACCATGAGTCAAATTTGACATTCAGATAAAGAAAGTATGGTTGTCCGGGTGGACGTCTGGCCCAATGGCCATCTACAAAATTTGATGAAAGGTCAAAAGATCCCTTAATTTGATGAAAAATTTAACTCTCTTCATTTGATATCGATTTGATGAAACTGTTGGAGCATAATTTTAATCAATTTTTCATCAAATTTAAATTTGATGAAGCATTTGACAAACGATTGGAGATGGCCTTAGGAATTCAAAACTGTGTATTAGAGTTTTGGGGTTTAGGATGGGTATTAGTTTTGACTCTATTAGTATGCAGTGGTGATTCGAAGAATTTTTTTTTCAGGTAGACATTAAAAAATTTAAACTTATCTATTGTGAAGTGGGAAATGTTTAATATGAGTTGCTATCTCATTTAAATTGTTTGTCCAGCTTCTGAGCCATAATCATGAATTGAGAATTGGATAAGAAATGGAAAATGAAATGAAACATGGACACATTTGTCATGTAAGGGAAATGGTTTATGAATTGATTTATATGAGTCAAACATTTATCAATTGCTAATGTCTTAGTTACTGCTCATGTTATGTTTAGCATATCTCTACTGGGCGTTGGCTCACCCTTTATGGGATATCATTTTCAGGTACATGTAGCATGCCACCTCCAAAGACATAGCTTGGGAGGCTTAGTGGCTGGGACGTCTTTTTGTGATTATCTTTGTTGTATTACATGTACATCAAGCCAAGGCTTTCTTTGTATAGAGTTAGTGCTCTCTTTTGTAACCAAGTGTTGACTTGGAAAGTTGTAAGCCCATAGGGCGTTTACTTTTGTTGTCAATATGTAATACATTGTGTAATGATTACTCTGATGGAAAATATTTACGCTTGATTCTCTTATGTCTAAGCATGCTATTGTTGGATGATTTATGGGTTTATTTTGAGGGCGTTACAAAAAGTAATGATAATACATTTTTAAGTGAATTTCAATAATAAAAATAATAATTCTTACACCACTTACAACAAATGACAAGTACACATACATGACCAGCCATATTCAAAAAATAATTATAATGAATCTTATGTTTTTGTAAGTATAGTAATTGTTATATCCACACATAAAATATGTTATATGAATTGGTCTAGGGTCCCTCTCCCACTTTTCGTAATGGAAGAGATCCACAAAATTATTTTTTGATGTCTAAGGTCCCTAAACATATATCAGAGAATTTCAGTCGTTTATACTATCTTCATCATCTGACCCACCGCCACCCCAACAACCCGACTTTGAGTCATCATCTTCCAACACTTCCCAAAGCTTTACCCAGTGGAGATTCCCACTCCCAAACTCACCGATCTTACACTACTCTCACCCACCACCACCACCACCGCTGGAATCTGACCCATTACCACCCCAAACCCACCGCCATTCTTACCCACAACCACCGCCTCTAGAACTCTTCCACCTCGCCGAGCTCCAACTCACTTCATACTCCGATTCTGACCGACTCAACGCCCTCCACATGCTTGAACGCTGGCTCGTTCCGAATCCCCCCACAGCTGCCGCGGCCATGGACGGAAGCGATAAGGTGGCATGTCCGACGGCAGATCAGGTGGAGAAGGCGCTACAGTCTGCAATTCGCCAACTCCATTTTCAACGATGATTGACGTAGCCAGACCCCACATACGATCTCTCTGAAGATATCGTCTTCAATTTTCTCTGCTTGCCATTGGGATGGGTCCTCCATATGCTCCTCACTGAAAATCATGCTCAACACCCACTTTTTCCATGTCATCGAATATCTCTAGAAATAGATTAATCGGAGCAATGTTGTGGCAGAAGATCAGAACCTTCTCTTTCCTGATGATGCACCGAGGTATAAGGCTCATGATGAATCTCACTTTAGAACCCAACTTCAAATCGAACTTATATTTCTCAAGATCATCCAACACTTCCATGCAAGAGAAGGCTAAGTGAAGGCAAGAATTTCTCAAATTTCTCTAGATTCAACCCAGACAAAATTGAAATTTCTCTGGGTTCATGATAACAGATACCATAGATGAACTACATAAATTTGTTCCATTATCACTGCTTCGTATTCATGGCCTGGACCAAACACCTCTCTGCATTTGTTTTTCGAGGCTCCTCGGTTAGAGAAGTTGCCTTTCTTCCTCACCTTTGAGAAGCAAGGAAGTGAGTTGAGGTAGGGGAATTCTTATGTTCAGAAAAAAAAAAAGGGGCAGAGAAATTTAGGAAGTTTAGGGAAGTCCAGATAAATTTTTAAAATTTCTCTAAATCAATTTTCTCTGACTTGAATTTTCTCTGGACCAATTTTCTCTGGATTGATGTTGAGGGACCTTAGACATCATGAAAATATTTGATGTCCTTTATAATATAAAATCATAATATCAGGGACCTTAAAAAAATATCCCACTTATAAAATTAAAAAATAAATAATAATAAAATTTATTATAATAATATCCAAATACATTTACATGCAGAGCCAGCTACCCATTTCTGACTTCAATGAGAGCTGAAAACCGGACCCAATCTATCTAAACGGTTGCGGATCCACTTTTACACCCAAATAAAATCATGACAAATAAATAGAATCACTCTAAAAAATTGTGTGTATCTAAAACTTGTGCCTCAAAAATTATTTTAAAAATGAGATGTAATGTTGATTTGATGTGAAAATGTGATTTTTTTAATAATTTAACTTTTTTGAATATGTGACATTATTATTACTATAAGAAATTAAGGTTTTAAAAATAAAAATTTAGAAATAAAATATTTTTGTAGCTAAAAGTGTTATTATTTTATTTTTGAATGACAAAATTGGACATGTAGTGATTAATTACTAATCTTTTGAAATCAAAAGTTTTGTCTCAAAAAATAAGTTTCTTTGGGATCAGTTATTTTATCCCTAAAAGTACATTTATTAGCGATATTTTCAAAATTTTGTCCCTAATAGCTCTTTTTTTTTTCTTTTTTTTTTCTGCACTTTTTTAGACAACTCATTAGCGACTATTCTTACGACAGTTGAAATTAATTCTTAAATATTTTTTGTAATAAAATTTATACTTTTAAAGACCAAAAAAAAAAAAAAAAAAAAAAAAAAAAAAAAAAAAAAAAAAAAAGCAACAACAACGTAACCTTTAAAACTGTTGTATGTTGTGGTGATTCAATATTGATATGTTCAACAACAATTGTACAAATCGTCTTTATTTGCCTCATAGGCTGTATTCAATTTTTCAACGCTAACTTTTCTTATATTCTTTGTAATTATAAAGTCTCTTGCTATTTTTGTGTTCATAATGTTTGGTCAACATTTTCTACTTATGGTACTGGTCAGTGGTACATATTTTTCACAAAATAGCCAGCTCTTGATGATTGAAACGAATGTGAGATCTACACAAGTATTAATTAAAAGATTAAAAAAAATTAAAAGGTCGATAGAAATGGAAAGATGATCTCGATTTGACTGAATCTTTATATACAAGAAAATAAATAATATTCACTTGGTTACTACATAAATCTCTTAATTGTAGTTCTAAGCTTGAGCAGTTGCTGCTATATGTGTACATGTAACATTAAAATCATAATTAGGATTGACGGTAAAACTTAAACAATAATTGGGATTTTATTATTATATGTACGCATATAGATATGTGGTCATGTATGTTTGTTTGGTGAAAATGAATTGTTTGCTTGGCATATAAGCAAATTATGCTTAATGTTAAATTACATGTAAAAAAAATTCTCAATTTTAAAGGAGAGAAATTTTTTAAAAGAGAGTGAAATTTTACACAATGACCTATCATTTTTACCATAATGGAAGAACCATACTCATTACATTCGACTGTGCTACATAATACTTAAGAGAGTGAAGCTTATTGACACCAACATTTGCTAGTTTTAAGAATTTTGAAAACAGAGGATTCAGTGCAATGCCTCTACTAGATCCTACTTATTTGAAGCCTCATCATTATGCAGATGGTAGATGTGATTTTGCAATTCTACCATCAGCTCCCTTTGGGTAAAAGCCACCAGGGACATGCTCATCTCCGCTGCTATATATAATCCGTAATATCTCCTCTGGGGTTCTATCATATCCAACAGAATTTTGATCCCCAGCAAGAACATTACCCCTAAGCTTTCCCTCGGCTCCTTGGAAAGTTGGAATGATAAGGCCTTCGTCTTTTACGCCTGCACTTCCCAACTTATTTCGTAGCTCTGAGATGCGGTCGGTGAATGCTGCCACTGTGATTCCATATGGCTTCACCTTCTCCCTTGCCCTCTCGTAAAGAAGTCCTCGGATAACTGCATCTTGGCCCGACTCTACGGCCAAAAGCCCAGCCACTAGCTGATACATACACATAGCAAGAAAAAAAAAAGAAATTAGTTTCATAGATTATTGGATGAGTTTTATCGAGATTTTTTTTTTATCACTACATGAGTTTTTTGAATCTGATGGATTTTATATGTATTTATTTTATGCATTGGGATAAGAGGTGAAAAAATAGGTAAAATTCATACAATATTAATTTATTATTTCAAAAATTATTGACACAGTTAACTCATAAGCTATATATATATATAATAAAATAAAAAAATTGTTTTTGAGTTGGTGATTTTAAAAAATTCACAACTGCATCATCCAATTCTCAATTGATTGTTATTCAGTACACACCGGTACACGATGGACACTAATTCATATGGCAGTTTCTTATTGAGATTGTAGCATATATACATACCCTTTTGGAAATGGGGCTTTGGAGTTTTGGATTTGCACCAACATATCCAGTGAGTCCAACATAGGGAATAACATAGGATGCAAGAAGAAAGTTTAGTTCATTAGCATATGGATCGAAAGCTGGCTTCAATGCCCTTCCAAATGCACTATTCATCACATTCCCAAATGCTTCTGCACTCAGATTCAGCAGTGGCCTTGGAAATCCTCTTACTGTGTTCTTGATGGCCCTGCATTTATAAGATGATCAAGACCAACGCATCTAAAAAAAAAATTTCTAGAAAGTGAAAGAAAATAGCACTCGGTTTGTTTTGATGAAAAATATTTTAGAAAAAAAATCTACATTTTATAGCATTTGGTACAATAAAAACAAAAGTCAACAACAAATGTTTATGTGATCAATAAAAAACAAATTTATTTAGACATAAATAAATAAATAAATTCAACTTTTGAAAAAACCACACTATCATCATTTCTACTATCCTGCCACCACCATCACCTCCTCCACCCCACCATACCACTATCCTTCCAACATCACCACCTCCTCCACCACCCTTCCACCCCACCACCACCATCACCACCCCACCACTTCCTCTGCCACTCTACCACCCCTACCACCGCCGCCACCACTATTCTACCACCACATCCTACAACCAACACCACCACCACCACCACACCACTATTCTACCACCACATCCTACAACCAACACCAACACCACCACCGCCACCACTACTACCACTAAGCCATCACCTTCATCACTAGCATAACCATTAACACATTAATTTCAAAGTTGCTTATAGGAAAACATTTTCTATCAAAAAAAATTTCTTCATATTTTTCATAAAAAATATTTTTTACAAACAAATGAATCGTAGAATAGTATTGAGAAAGGGAAAAAAAATCATTTAGATGAAATTACCTCAAGTGACCGACTTCCTGGAAGGCGAATTGGAGGATAACGTCCTTCGTGAAAGGGTCAAGTCTGGCCTTGGTGGTGCCAACCGGTGGTGGACCGCCCATGGTGAGATTGGGAGCTATGCTATCCAACCCATAACCTAAAGATCCCCATAAGAAGAACTCTGCTTCCAAATACTCTAAATTTAAAGGGAACTCTAAGAGATCTATATCAGAGCCTGGGATGGCTGAGTTGCAGTTTTCTGAGCAGTAAGAGGTGGGAAGAAAGAGTAGGAGGAGAAGGATGGATGAGATGACAACGGTAGTGGTGGCCATGCGGGTTGTGGGAATGGACAATGCCATCTTCTTGTCTTTGTTTTGGTATTGATGTATGTTTCATGCAGTTTCACCAACCCACACAAATCTATCTATATATACACATACATTTGAATTTTTAGACAGTTTTGTAAATAAGGAAAATCATTTTGCAACTTTTAAATGAGTAAAACTGGTTGGTAATTTTGAATTATTTGGTAATATGAAAATTTGTTTAGCAAATTATTGAATGTGATACTTATTAATAGTGAAGGACAATTTTACAATAAAAAAAAAAAATATAATAACGTTCACATAAATAAAGTGTACATTTTATATAATAAAATAGAGAGAGTTAGTATGTACAAATCAAATATTAGTATGTATTTTTCATATTAAATGATATGATTGCTTGTATTTATTTATTTATTTTTTATGTGAAAACACTTGTGATTAAGATTTATAATTTTAATAATACTATTGTCACATTATTTTCGACTTACTTTTGTTTAAAGTCATTTTTTATAAATATGGCTTTTACACAGTCAAGATTTAAGAAGCAGAAGGGTAGTCCACAGTCAAAAATTCAGAAACCAAGTGGGAGTTGATCTGAAAGGAAAACTTATTTGTGGAGGAGGAATAGGACATACAGGAGGCTCTACCTAAATGCGCATTGTCTTGTATGAATGGTGGTTTGTTGTTAGTGGGAGCTTCTTCATTTAGGAATAAAAACAAAAAAATAATCTTTACCCATCAAGTAGGGTAATTTTTGGTAATATTGATGAGCAGCTGAAACAAGCAGAGGAGGAATTGCATGAGTGGGATTTATTAGCTGAAGGAAGGAATCTACAGGAAGCTGAGATCAAAAGAAGGGTAGAAATAAGAAATTTAGTGTGGGATCTGAGTAAGAAGAAGGAGTGGTTGTGGCTCCAAAAATCTAGAAGGGTTTGGGCTGAAAATGGGGACAAAAATACCAGATTTTTCCATTTAATGGCAACCAAAAGGCAGAGGAAAAACTTGTTAAACTCAGTTACTGTGAATGGTGTGATCCAGAATGAGCCCGGGATGATAAAACAGGCAGTGGCAAGTCATTTCAAGCACCTTTTCACTGAAGATTGGAAGTATAGACCAAAATTAGCAGGTGTCGAATTTTTAGTTATGCCTTTTGGAGTCACGAATGCACCAGCTGCATTTATGGACCTCATGAACAGAATCTTTAAACCATACCTTGACAATTTTATTGTTGTATTTATTGATGACATATTGATTTACTCCAAAAGTA